GCCTTCAGGAGATGTTTCTTACTGTCGGGAAGATATTGCATTAGTTCAGGAAGCTTGGAATAGTTGTCAAAATTATGATTTGATAGGAGCGCCGCATAGTTAGCGATGCGGAGGAGTAAGGTTGAGGAGGAATAGACCTTACGGCCGAATGAATCCATCTTTTTTGAATCCTTGTCCGGAAGGGAATTCTTAAAGTGCGAAGTCTTAGCCTTATGGCGGGCTGCATCGACGATCAACGAATTAGGCTGGGGGTGATTAAAAAGAAAATCCAGGCCTTTTGATGGTACGAAATACTTTTTGTCCACTCTTTTGTTAGTAGGTGGCACTGAGGTTGGCGTTTGCCAGATATCCTCGGCCACCTCCATAATGGCTTCATCTATCGGTAGGGCGATCCTTCTCTGTTGTTTCGGATGCAAATTTTTGAACAGCTTATGTTGTTTTCCTTGGGTCTCAGTAATCTGCACCTCTTGCGATTGTGCTACACGGCGAAACAGATCCTGGAATTCCTTTAGATCATCGGGGAGTGACGACTCGCTCGGAGTTATAGCTTTGACAGCCGAGGAAACTGAAGAATTGGCATTAGGAGACTTGTCCGGTTCTGACTCAGAAAGTTGTCCCTCCTCCAGGTCTGATTGCTGTGACCTAGGAGTCGGGGATCGTGGGGACGGCACGGGTCTCCGGGAAGAGTGTCTCTGCCGTCCAGAATGTATGGAACCTGGGCTTACTGAGCGACAAGAGCATGGTGACCTGCAACGAGATCGTGACCGACTATAGCGCGAAAATTCGTCATAGTAACGGTCATGATAATGTGAGCCGTGGTGGGCAGAGTGAGCAGGCGATGAGTGCTTAGATGCCCTAGCACTGCCATGCCTATCCTGGTGAGATGAGTACGTAGAATGCCTGGAAGGAGATCGAGACCTAGAACGCCTGTGATGCGAACAACTACGTTCCCTATAATGGTGATGATGGGAAGACACCCTGCGATTACAACTCTTCCTACGGCTCAAAGCGCTAGAAGATGCCTCTGGAGAGGGTGAGAGAGAGAGCACCCGAGCATCTGAGGTGGATGGTGCCCTAGAAGCCTGAGGTGGGAGCTGTTCCTGAGAGGAAGGTTGCAGGGTTGTAGACTCAAAAGAATGTGAAGAGGCAGGCACTTGGTCTGCAGTCTGCTCTCCCGGTGCGCACGGTGCTGAGGGGAGCTCCCTGCGAGGGGAATTACGTGAGGAGGCTGGAGTGGTCGGCACCGAGAGCATGGGTGCCGACGGAGCTGGCCCTTTAAGGGACTCCTGCGGTGCCGGCTGTGGCCGCGGCTTTGACTTGCCAGACGGCTTTTTCCCTGCCGGAGCACGGGCTGCCCTGGAACCAGAGGCACCCGGCTTTCCTCCTGCCGTGCCCCGCGGCTGTGGGGGTATTGGCAGGGACTTTGCAGGAGAGGCTCTCTTCCTGCTCGGAGAAGGTGCCCTTGGGGAAGGAGCCCTCCGCTTTTCCAGGGTAGGGTCCGAGGCAGAGGATCCTGCCGAGGTAGAAGGCATCAATGCCTTATCAAATAGGATTTCTTTCAGCCGCCTTTCTCGCTCCTTACGAGCTCTGGCTGTCAGTTTGGCACAGTGCCCACACTTTTGGGGAATATGTGCCTCCCCAAGGCAGCGGACGCAGGCAGAGTGGCCGTCCGAGAGCGGCATAGAGTCCCTGCAGACAGAACATTTCTTGAAGCTGGGAGAGCCCGGCATTTTGAAGTACTGAGGGGGCTTGTCCTGCGCCCCTGTCTGCGAGTGATAGTTGTCTGTTTTAATTTCTCTGAATATTTTGTATATTTATTGTATTTGTTTATTATTAGAGTCCTCACTTTCTTTCCTTTTTTTTTTTTTTTAATAAGCCGGTGGATTAAGGCTGTGTCAAAAAAGACCGGAGCCGCGGTTTGAACCGCCGGTTTTAAGATTAATTACCCAGTCTTCACATTTTGTTTAAATGGCAGTGTTAAATAGTAATATTTGTTTAAATTTTCTCTGAGGTAGAGAGGGAAGAAGGACTCCGTCCGCGACCAGGGGCGGATGAGAGGAACTGGCGGGGACCGGGTCGCGCGCGGCTGATCAAAGGCGCGAACGCTACTCGCGCATGCGCGACCCGGTCGATTACAGCTATGGCAAGCTCCGATTCGCGGCGCCGGGACCAGCCCGACACCAGACGTGGAGCACCCACGGGGACTACCCGAAGAAGAAGCGCTAGTTAACTGCTGCTACAGGCATGCTATGAGACGAGGGCATGTGCAGCCCAACTGGGTACTGCTGTCAACATTCTCCAGCTAAGGCAGGGGTGGAGAACCATGATTGAGTTGCAGGCCACACAAAAGTGAGACGCAAAAATACCAAAAACAAATGAACCCTCCTACCCTCTGCAAACAAAGCCCTCACTGACCTGGTCTCCAACTGAAGAGATACTCACCTCACACCCCTCTCACTCCAGCCCCATGAGGGGAGAAGGGGGACAAGGCTCGGGGCTTACCCCCATGGCTAGATTAACTCTTCTGGGAGCCTGATGCTAGTAGATTTTGTGGGGTCCCTCTAGACTCTGGGGTGGAGCCAAAAATGAGGCGCTCATTGTGTGGGAGGGGGCCTGTTGGGGAGTGGGCTGGAGGTGAGGGTGTGGAGTCTGGACATGAGGTAGAGTGCAGGAGTGGGCTAGGGTGTGCGGTCTGGGCAGGAAGGGGATGTGGGAAGGGGTAGGCAATTCGGGCGCCTACCTGGCATAGCTCCGGGAGAGTGAGGGGGCACAGATGACTGCGCCATCCTGCGCTTGCAGGCACCCCCCCTACCCCGCCCACATCTCTTCCCATTATTGCCAGTCAATGGGAGCAGCAGGGGAAAAAATTCAGGCAAAAGGGGGACAAAACCTGCACTGCCATTTCCCCAGCCAGGAGGAAGATGAGAAATGACAGTGCACAGAGCCACTTCCTTCCCCTGCCAGCCAGATGCCATCTGCAGCTTGCCTTGATTTGGCCTGCGAGACTCAGGGCTCCCCCCACACCAGGGAGCCAGCGCTGGTCATAGGTTCGCCATCCCTGAACTAGAGGCACAGGGTATTCAGTCACCTGAAGTAGGGCACCCCCAGGGACATCACTTGAAGAAAAACAGGTTTCTAGAGCATCAGTTATTTAGCCAAAGCTTTACCTTTGATGTAATCTACTCAAACCTAATTTCTTCAGACACTCCGCTAGGTTCCTGTCCCTCAAATCGGATATCCCCTAGTCACCACTCTCACCATTCCTCATGTCTTCCTTTTCAACCCTGCCACAGTTATTTTCTTCATCTGCTTCCCAAGACTTTTCCTGTCCTGGCTTTGTCTCTAAATAGCTCTCAAGTGTTTACTGAGAAGTAGCTTGTCTCAAGCCATGCTAATCCCACACTGACTTGTTCTTTTTTACATACCCTATTAAATTAGACCAGTATGTTCATATAGGGAACATCCCAATAATCACATCAACGTTTAGCATTTATATATTTTATAGTGCAGTTCCATATCCATCACCAACATTATTTATTTTTAAAGGATTTAAAATATATTCAGTATATTTTAGCTATTTATTTTGTTTAAATTTGATATAAAAATAACCCTGCTATACAATTATAATTTGCATATGTTCCCTAAAGTGAATACTTTCATTTTAAAGGTGCACAGATGGAAGAAAATAACCTATGTGAAAACATTTAATGTTTCTCTATACTAAAGACTTTTCGCAGAACAATGAATACAAACGTTTTTATATCATATAATATATATACATTTTTATAAATAAACACAGCGTAGTAAGAACAATAAATATTTAACAATAATTCTACTACCTCAAGAATGGTATTTATTTAAGAATATGGTAAGATACAATATCTGTAAAAAAAAGTACCTCTGGTGCAAGATATTCCGGAGTGCCACAGAAAGTCTTCATCGTTGCTCCATCCTTGATACCTTCTTTGCATAGCCCAAAGTCTGTTATTTTTATGTGTCCATCTTTGTCCAGCATAAGATTTTCCAACTTAGATATAAATCCAAATTAAAATGGTCATTAGATAAACAATCCATACACTTGAGTGAGTTTGTAAAATATCTGGATTTCTGCAAGTTATTCTTTTCAGCCCTATTCACCCTGGGATAAGAATTATACTAGCTACCAAAGCATATATAATATAAATATACATTTATATAATTTCCCTTAGGGATAATCTGCACATCATTGGGCAGCTGAAATATATATATGCAGTGAGAATGTAGAAAATAGTCACACTACATCTAAGCTTCTTAAATGTTATAATAAAAAAAAGCACAAATTTGAAAATAACAAAAATACTTTTGTCTCTGCTTTTCACTTAGAGTATCTTTCATGGGCATTTCAGCTCTGACAGAGGCTAGAAGCAGTGACAAAAACAAAGAATCAATTTAAAGCTATGGGATCAATTTACAATAGCATGGTAAACATGCTGTAAATTTACTCAGAATTAGCCAATTATCTAAAAACTAAGAGAATGCTGGTACTACCCATAGCTCATGAAAACAAATTCTGCTTATACTAAGGATGTGAAGGTTTAACTGGTTAACCAGTGACAGGGGGGTCTGCTGCAGATAGGGGCTACTCTGGCTAGACTAGAGCAGCCCCTGACTGTGGCAGGGAAAGGAGGCTGTCCAGGCCAGCAGCAGGGAGAGTGGAGGAGGGGAGAGGGGAGGAGAATGAGACTCCAGCCAGGCAGGAGCAGCCTATCTATTCTCAACCCCCCACTTTAATCGGTTAACTGTTTAAATAGGTTTAATCAGTCAGCCAATTAAATGGGATTTTACATCCCTAGCTTAGACACCTCTGAGCACTCTCCCATCAACTCTGGTACTCCACCAGGAGGAGAAGAGTAGCCGGAGTCAACGGGAGAGCATCAGCCATTGACCTTATCTCATGGAGGACACTACATTAAGTACATTGTCTTCAGCTACGCTATTTGTGTAGCTGAAGTTGTGCATCTTTGACCGAGAGGCAGAGGCGTAGTGTAGATTGGGCCTAAGAGAGACAGGTACTTAAGTCCCACTGAATTTCATAACACCCTGAATATTCATAGATTCCAGGGCCAGAAGGAACCATTGTGATCATCTAGTCTGACTGCCTGTATCACACAGCTTCATTCCCAATAACAGAGCTCCCCTTCAGATTCTACCAAGGTAATGGATCCACACACACAGAGGGAATCAAGTCCAAAAATATGCTTTCTGCAGCACCTTGTAGAGTATTCAAGTGCTTAATTTGAGATCTTAGAAAAATCATGACTGACAATAATTTAGCTGTAATATTTCTGTTGTAACAAAGTTTGGTGGATAGGTTTATTACATTTAAGTGTAATCAGCTTCTGTGATTTAGAACTGTAACAATTAAAACCCATTTTTAACAGCCTACGAAATTAAAAGTCTTTCATATACCTTTAAATCTCTATAAACCACATTCTTCTCTGAATGTAGGTAATCCAGTGCTGATACAATCTCAGCTCCATAAAATCGAGCCCGATCTTCAGAAAAGACACGTTCTCTTGATAGATGGAAAAACAACTACAACAACAAGAATTTATTACATTTAGAATGCACACACTTCTGACTAATAGACAATCCTGCTTGGAATCAGATATTAAACCCAGAAAAGAACCTTTTCCCTCCTGACACAGTTGTGCTCCATAATATTCTAAAAGTTGCACCATAAATAAAATGATTAAACATAAGTTTAATAATATTTTTTTCAAAATCATAGCTGCTCTATTTGACAATCTGATGCACTGTTATTTTTAATCAGTATATATAAACAACTAAGAAAAATTAATTTTGTCCTTAGCTAGTTATTAAACCAGATTTTTTAAAAGCAGGAGATTCCTTATTTGGCAAAAAAATGGATCTCTCTTCTTCTGAAATGTCTAATAGCCTTTGTTTTCATTTACAGCTCTGCCATCAAAGTACTATGTGCTTTGCAATAATAATACAAAAAACTTCAATGGCACAGAGAAACTAGAAAACAGCATCAAGGTATCCAAAACTCCTGAACCAGTAGAAGATACACCAGAAGATGACATTGTAATTTTTGTTCATCCGGGGCTCACCCCTGAAAACCTTTACTAATTTATGTAGTCCTAACTCAAAAGAACAACTTCACTGATGTAGGATTTTTCATGTGGGTTAGAACATGAGTAAGTTATATATATATATATATATGAGTAAGTTAATGAGGACTCAAAGTCAGTAAATCCTAACATGAAACGGAATACAAAAAATATAGGAAAATCCAAAGGCTTATCTATTAATGAGGTTTCCTTACCTCTCCTCCATTAGCATATTCCATAACAAAACACAAGCGATCATGTGTCTGAAAGGAATACTTTAAAGCCTGAAACAAATTTAAACAAAGACTTAGCACAGATCCCACATCAAAGTTTACAAAAGTGCTTTCAGTCAAGTTTTAGAAATAGGGATAGAGATAAAATACCACATTCTATTTTAACAATATGGCAATATTTTATAAAAAATTCTCATAGTTTTTTTCACCAGCACTTCTCCATCACTGCAGCACCTGAGCATGGGTCCCATGGTGGTTTTAGTAAATAACACAAAGGTCAGATACAAGAGCTTAGCTAAAGCAGGGATCAATTCTGACACATGGATAACACCTGCAAAAACCAAGGGGTTATATTACTATTGGATAGAGTTATATCTGTGTCCCTACTGTTTTCTCTGCTGCTGCTGCTCCTCCAGCCAGAGGACTGAGAAATTCTGTCAATTTACCATGAATTCACAAAAAAAAAAAAAAAAAAAAAACACACACCAGATCAGGAAGAGAAAGGGAAAGTTCCTCCACCCAGTTGTGTCATGTACATTCCTGCATCACAAGTCCCACCATTTTGTTTGCCACACCTTTGGATTTATTTTGTTTGGGTCATGACCCAGGTTTACAATAGAAGCAGTTGCAGCCCTTTGCTTTGAAGTTATATTTTGATTTAAGCAAGCATAAAATTACATAAAAACAACTATGTCAATCTTCATTTCTAGGTGGCACATTTGAATCAACAACATTCTTGTGGAGGGAGGACCAGATTTTGGGGTTTGTCAACTCCAACAGTAATCTGTAATAAAAAATTAACAAAAAAAGTGAACAGTGCAGCTTATTTTCACAAGTGACTAATGATTTCTGGGGGCCCAAACTGATACTTTCTGAAAATAAGAGACACTGTATGGTGTGCTGAGCACCAACCCTCTGAAAAATGTGAAAGTGTCCCAATGTGTGCACCCCAAAAATCCAGGCATCCCAAAAACTAGTTACTGCTGAAGACCTAGAAGACTTGTTTTTTCACCATGATAATAAGGAAGAAATCTGTAAGTGTCACAATGCTGAATTTGCTTACAAGATGTACTACTAAAGAAGAAGAAGAAAAAAAAAAGAACACTTACTGTTAAGAATGGGTGCCTAGAATTCTGTAAAACACGGTTTTCTGTCAGCGTGTGCGCTACTTCATCCTGCAATGCCACCCAGCAGAAAATTATCAATGCAAATCGCTAAAGAACAAGAGCTCCATAAAAACAAGTAAGTACAGGCAGTCCCCGGGTTACGTACAAGATAGGGACTGTAGGTTTGTTCTTAAGTTGAATCTGTATGTAAGTCGGAACTGGCGTCCAGATTCAGCCGCTGCTGAAACTGATCAGCAGCAGCTGAATCAGGACTCCTGGGGCAGAGCAGCTGGGGTGCTGCCGGGTTGGTCCAGTAGCACCAAGGAGCGGTGCTTCGGGAACAACCGGCAGCGCCCCACCTGCTCTAC